AGATGTAGATGCAAATCCAAGGTTCATGGTGTTGATGATTGATCCATTACTGCAAAAGGATTTACCAAAATATATGGTTTCATTCAGATGAATTCATTACCCATTCTCCTTAAGATTCTATCAAACTAAAGCATCAACAAAATTATTACCGGAAGGAAATCACTGTCAAGGAGCGGAATGAAGGAAATGCCTTTTGGTAGAAAGGTTCAAGCTGCAGAAATAAAAGCAAACCAACTGTAAGTACAGGAATTAAATATCATCTTATAAAGAACAGGATTTTTATTTTCCACCCATTCTGAAATAAGAAACAATCTAGTGCCCATTACAAAGTATTAGAGGCACCAGCTCTTAAATAAATTGCATGAGAAATGTCGGGGTAAGGGATGTTCTTGAATTTATTGGATACAATCTAACTGCACAATTTGATGGGGAATTTACGATATGCAGATTTTAGGCAAATATGAAACAGGATAAATGTGTTGGCAAATATGAAAGATGAATGTGTGAATAATAACAATAGATACATTTATCTATATTAATGAATATAAATTTAAGATATATTTATAATACTGTGACATAATAAACATCTTGTAAAACATTGCCAATTGATTAGGATGCATACATTGTGCTAGGTTTCACTCTAAGAGACACTTACTGTTGACTTTATCATTGCGGCCCGACTTGTAAATGCTGCAGATGATGAATTCAGCAAGTCACTTGTAAATGTCTCTCCAGCAGATCTAAAAGTCAGCTGCCTTGTTGTGACTGCCTCAGCAGTTGTCGCTACAGATGTAGTGGTTGTAGGAGTTGTTGTGGTTGTAGTTGCGACCGTTGTTGTTGTAGTTGAGAATGTTATAGTTGTAGCAGCAATAGTTGAAGTTGCAGCATTGGTCATTGTATTTGTTGTAGCTGTAGTATTTAAAGTGGGGGCTGCAGTTGTTTCTATAAAAACATGTAGAACAATGTGAAGTAATATGTAAAAAAACACATTGTGGCCAGAGGGCGTCTATTGGACAAACATATACATTACAATATACTGTACTGTATGTGGTATGTGGTAATTATGATACTGGTATTGAAATTGATCATCATTTTTATAACAAGGTCAGTAATGCTATTGGCAGTGAAAAAAGCCTTGAAACTGTATCCTTCATTGTAGTAGGATGGTTATTTTCAGATACAATTCTGGAGTATATCAAATAGATTAAACTAATCCAGTAATTACTTCCTTTTGTTGATTGAGACAACAGAATTGTTTACTGACCAACAGTAAAAATAAGCACGCACACACACTGGTGTCACAGACAGTGTTGGATACATGACTTGCTGCTGGAGTGCAATATAAGAGTGCTTTTTTACTTACGAACTACTTTGATGGAGTCGATCTCAACAGAGAGGTTGAAGTTGTTGCTGGAGTTAGACACAGCTTCTATTAAAGTTTTGGCAACATCCTCAGACTGTGGGATATCAGTAGATGATGCAGTATTGTTGAACTCAACCCCCACCACTGCTTCAGTATTTTCCATTCGTCTTCTGATCACAGCTGGTCTGCATCAAAAAAGCACGTTGTCGTAATGAAATTATATTAACATTGATAACTTATGTGTAACTATTTCACTTTTTGCCATTAATAACAATCCAGAAAGTAAAGCAAAGTCTTTTTATAAGAATTTAAAATTGTACCTAAAAGCTATGACAAAGGTGCGGATGAAGAGGAGGCCGAATCTTCTCCTGTAGATCACATCATACTGTGGGAAGGAAGCAAACAGGAAAATATAAACAAACAAATACATTATTCTCCAAGTGATTAAGAACTGAAAACTCACTTAAAGGTGGGGTCAGTCATTCTGGAGAGAGCCTGACCTTTCCCAGGTCATTCAAATATGTGTCAAATACTGGCACTTAGAGTTCCCAGGTCCTGGAAGCACAAAAACCACCTGTTGTATTGTGTGGCTTGCCCCAAGCCACTTTGATTCCCATTTTCCATAACCTAAAGTGTTGGTATTTGACAACCTGGCAATGAGGCTCAAATCAACGGGCTTTCTCCAGAATAAGTGACCCCAACTTACTTAATACACTTAGAAAGACAATGAGCACTTGTACTCACCACTGCAACAACTCTTGCTTCAAGAGTCTGAAATTGTGCACTTTCTCGATTATTTAATTCTTTTACAAACGGTTCAACTATGATTGCTGCGATAACCACAACTGGCTGGACAGGGGCTTTAGTTCTAGTAGTTGTTGTTGCTGTTGTTCCAACAGATGTTGTTGAAGCAGAAGTTGTTGTTGATCCAGTAGTTGTTGTTGAACCTCCAGTTGTAGTTGAGGCAGCAGTTGTTGTTGACCCACCAGTTGTAGTTGATGCACCAGTTGTTGTTGACCCTCCAGTAGTTGATCCACCAGTTGTTGTTGAGGCAGCAGTTGTTGATCCGCCAGTTGTTGTTGAACCTCCTGTTGTAGTTGAGGCAGCAGTTGTTGTTGACCCACCAGTTGTTGATCCACCAGTTGTTGTACCTCCCATTGTAGTTGAGGCAGCAGTTGTTGTTGATCCACCAGTTGTTGTTGAACCTCCTGTTGTAGTTGAGGCAGCAGTTGTTGTTGACCCACCAGTAATTGACCC